GGTCAAGTGGATTGTCTTTGTTTACCAGTTTAATATATTCCAAATATGTATGTATGAGGACTCATTAAGGGTGTCGACAAAACGTCTGAAAATGTATCAAGTCGCCGGCTCCACGCTGAAAAGTAGCATGCAAAAACATTACAAAGACATAGGACTAAATACTCTCCACAAGACCTAGCTCTCGATCCGAGAAATTGCGAAAACGATGTCAAACCAACACTATCCAGCTAAAGGAGACAGTAAACAAGCATACGGTCACACAATTTTGATCTTCACATCTTCGAAATCAACGATTTGGAGTTCTCTAATCAAATAAAGCAAATGGGAATCCTAGATGTACAGAATTCTGTAAAAGCTTTATGTGGCTAACATTTATTGGAAGTAGCTAGCTCTGAATAGAAATTATCTGTCAATTAACGTGACAGCACTGACTTCAGGTATAATATTAGGAAGGCATAGTAATTTATTGATAAACTGATAATAGTCGAAGCTTCTGCTAAGTAGAAATCCAGATATAAAGACAGAAATAAATAAATAAATATATTTATATATATATGTAAATATATTCAAAAACTGTGATGCAAAAGCCTGTCACACCAATTGACCAATTACACAGATGTATTAATAAAGTATTCTCACAATGACTGGTCTACCCAAGTTTAAATCAGCACGAGCTGGAACAAGATGGTGTGATAGCTTATTCCGACGATTTACAGCATCACTAGACTCGCCGGATGGCAGTTGCACCATCTTACCATCAGGAAATGTAATGCTTCGGGCGCCAGGGTATTGGTGGGGCCCTCGGATAACCAGTTGTTGCAAGAACTTCTCATTGAATTTGCTGACCGGCTCAGGAAATGTTAAGCGAAGGGCGAAGTAGAGGGGTACGCCGACCTAATGTAAAGATTTGCAAATATGATTATTAGGGTGCATGATTTTCTTGTGATTGCCAATAACTTAGAAAGTAATGAGATACCAAATATGAGATTAAGTCAAAAATTTAAGGCATAAACAATAGGAAGGGACTCTAAAGTAAATTAGAGAGAAGGAACAACAAAGGTAAGTGTAACAAATGTTGGGGAGGCTTTAATTTCATATAGAGTGCATGAATTAGAGATTCGTAGGTCGATCTCACCAGAAGATGACGGATGAATGCCGTTATACTGCAGCTATTTGGCTTTTATATGATGTTTAGCTTGACACAGTCCATGAGATTTCCTGCCTCGTTTCGGGTGTAAACGGGCTGAGCTTTCGTCCATCATATGATGGACATCATCAGAGCTGGGTTTCATTACTGCAAGAGTATCACGTTAACACTAGAGCAAGAAGACTATGCGGCTCTATCTTACCTCCTATATACATTCAATTAAACAAAAGAAAATAAAAAACTTAGAAGGATATAGAGTGGTTTGGCTAATAAACTTTCCTACTGGTCATGCTACTTTTGCTCGTGTGTGTATGTGTGTATGTGTTTGTGTTAGCGTCTATACGCAATACCGGTCCTAAATCAGAGTTATCAAAAAGCTAATGTCAGGCTCTGATCATCAAGACTTAATGACCCAAGAGAAAGCCCTGACTGAGACTGCGTAAATCCGTAAGTATAGTTGAGATAATGGGATATGAGCTTATAAGCATGTAAGTTAGGTTATGAAACCACTTCTCCTAACCTCTCAGTCTAGGTTCATTAACGTTTAATCCCCCAAGGAAATGCAGCTCCAGTGAGCTGCGTAATCCGGCACGTCTGGTTTAATTGATGAGTCTAAGCTAACATGTTGGACGAGTGTGAATGACAAATTGAGTCGCCTTCTTTTTGACGGCAGCTCAACACCATTTCTCTCCTTCAATCTATCAATCAAGCATAAGTAGTTCCTACTCAACTTTCTACCACCGTTCCTCACATTTAACGTATTTTTAAGCTAATAATTTCTCTTATATTTCCTTTAACCACAGACGCACCATAATCAGCAAGCCTAATAGTTTGAGAACATTCTATTTTATATCCAATTTCCACCATGTATTCGGACACATACTGACATTA